GTTGATTTGAGACCTTGAGGAGTTCGGCCAGTGGGGTTGAAAAATGAAGATAAGTTCATTTTTCAGATTGATTGTTCTTGTCATTCTTCTTTAGTTTGTGTACTGATGTTTGTGAAGTTTATTCCACATTATTGTAGTTTCCTGATTCTTGTAATTTGTACATTGAGTTCGGGTTTACTGTGAATATTTACATCTTCGATTGTGTTCGATTATTGAAGTCTTTATTCTGGCAGATTACTTAGTGTTTTGTTCAGATGATTGAGTTCTTGATTTACAGTTCGGTTTTGTTACTTTTGCACATATATTTTGTTGATCATTCTTGAGCTAATTGTGTGAACTCCTCCCAACAGTGGCAGCTTGTCAAGGTGGCATATCCAAAGCTCTAAGAACCTCAGATGAAATAGCTGTAATATTTCGAGTGGGAAGACCTCCAGAAGGATGTAGTGTAGATTCAAGGCCCAAAGAAATTTAAACACAAATGATTTCATAGTGGTCACCTTGCCTGGTGGACTCCTTTCAGAGGCACACCGGAAACAAGAGCGAATGTTTGTGCATAAAGCTTGGTTTTCAGACAAGTTGTAGAAGCGATGAGAATGGAAACATAGATTGTTTGATGATGAGATAGGAGTTGATGGAGAAGCAACTCGTTTGTGCCAGTCATTTTTCTTTTCCTCCGCTTTTCTCAGACATAATTCACGCAACATGTCATGTACACGACACGTCCTGATTCCTCCATTTGATGACTTCTTGGATACAACCACTAGATTTCTATTAATTAGTTCCTTCAAATAGTCCTCTGCTAAATCTTCAATAGGAATTTGCCGCTCCCTGCGGCAAATAAACCCTTCAGCTATCCATAACCAGATCAACCTATATGCCAAAATATAGCTGTCTTCCGGGAATGCTCCAAAATACAGGAAGCAAGATTGTAACGGACAAGGTAAGTGCTCATAACTCAGTGCTAGTATGTCCATAATTTGCTCAGAATTAGCAAGAACAGAACTTAAACTTCCAGCAAGTTGCTTCCACCAGTCGCAGTTCTCATTCTTGGCAAGTAGTCCTGCTACAACAACGATGGCCAGGGGTAGCCCTCGACATTTTGCCGCAATCTCTTTTCCAACTTCCTTCAATTCTGAAGGGCATTCACTTTTCCTAAACACTTTATGCTTCAATAGATTCCAGCTCTCATCTTCAGTTAAAACCCGCAGACAGTGAAGGATACTACCCCGTCTGATACTTAAACCTACATCATTTAACCGGGAAGTAATTATAATTCTACTTCCATAATTGTCATCTGGAAATAATCTTTCCAAATCATTCCAAGCGCTTGTATTCCAGACATCGTCCATAATAATGAGATACTTTTGACCTTTCAAACGTGTATACAATTTATCTTCGAGACGTTCATCACTCATTGTCTGTATCTCATCCTTATTCACAATACAACTTAGAAGGCTGAGCAGCAAATCCCTCCTTCGATATTCTTGAGATACACAAGTCCACGCACGAATATAGAAGTGATGAACAACGAAATCATCTTCGTAAAGACGTCTACACAAAGTAGTCTTACCGATTCCAGCCATGCCAACTATTGAGATAATTTGTAGTTGCTTTCGGTCTCCAGTAAGTTGATCTTTTATTCTTGCGATGTCCTCAAACCCCAAGAAAACTTCATCGTACTCTACCTGCGGCCTGATTGCTTCAGATATACTTTGAGTAGAAACTTCAAGTATTGGCATTGAAACAGCGTGAGGATTCTTTTCCATCTTCTTCTTAATGGAGTTGATTGCTTCCGCAATATACCTGAGTTTCTTTGGAGGATCAAATGCATGATAGATCTTCCCACACATTTCTTCATCCTCTTTCAAGATTACATTTAAAATAAATGAATCGAGGTCCTCTAGTGCCTCACAAGCCAAATCTTTAACTTGTTCCAGGAAACAATCTCCATTGTGATCATCCTTCAACTGCCTGAGGAAACTTCTTACGACTGTAAAATCGTTATAAACTGATTTGATTTGATCCATGTCGCTAATAATAAAGCAAGTGTTTTTGCTAACTATCAGTTTCAAGTCCTCCAACAGAAAATCAAGAACTGTATCAGCCATTTCCTGAGAAAGAAAGTAAGTAAAAGGGCGTCGAGCTGGATTAATATAGTAAAATTGTTGCAAAGAATTTGAGCTTGTTCAATGTAATTCTGGTGTAGATATGGAGGTCAAGGGCCAAGTCTTAGCACGGAGATCAAATTTGAATTTAAATAAAGTTCAAAGCAAAGGTAACCCTGGTCGGCGCTAGTGGTGGGGTATGGGGCTACTCAACTACAATAATTGTGGGTAATTAGCACATAAAGCACCTACATTTCATTGTTACTGAGGAAAACGTTCATATCTTTCATTTTTTTATTTTTATTTTTTTTGACATTTTCACCATTATTTTCACCTTTCATTGCTTAAATGATCATTTTCACCTATTTTCTCAATTAAAATTATGAAATGACGAATAGATCACTTTCTTTAAATAAAACAAAAAGAAGAAGAAAAAAAATTAATTACAATCACAGTTCCAATTTTTTTTTAAAAAAAGAGCAAATAAATCACAAATAAATTATTAAAATGTAATTAGTATATAATGTCCCTATATTTCACCGTTATTGCAAAAAAAAGTTCATACCTTTCTTTTTTTTTACATTTTCACCATTAATTACACATTTGATTGTGGAAACTATCATTTACATCTATTTTCATCCAATTTTTCAATAAAGAACTGTGAAATAATAAGTATACCCTCATATTTAAATAAAAACTATTTTTTAAAATTTTTAATTTTTTAATAATTTATTTGGGACTCGTTTGTATTTTTTAATTTTTAATAAATTTAACTGGGACTTTTTTGCACTTTTTTAAAAAAATTAATTTTTTTAATAATTTAATAGGGACTTGTTTACACTTTTTAAAAAAATTGGGACTATGATTGCAATTAATTCTTAGCTTTTTATTTAAATATGAGGATATATTCATTATTTCACATGTTTTTATTGAGAAATTGAATGAAAATGGATAAAAATAATGCTCAAAAGATGGAAAATGGAAAAAATTTTCCTACTTCCCTGGAAAATATAGCCTATCAAACAGGCCCTAAATAAAGTTCAAAGCAAAGGTAACCCTGGTCGGCGCTAGTGGTGGGGCATGGTGCTACTCAACTACAATAATTGTGGGTAATTAGCACATAAAGCACCTACATTTCATTTCATTGTTATTGTGGAAAACGTTCATATCTTTCATTTTTTAATTTTTATTTTTTTTGACATTTTCACCATTATTTTCACATTTCATTGCTTAAATGATCATTTTCACCTATTTTCTCAATTAAAATTATGAAATGACGAATAGATCACTTTCTTTAAATAAAACAAAAAGAAGAAGAAAAAAAAATTAATTACAATCACAGTTCTAATTTTTTTTAAAAAAAGAGCAAATAAATCACAAATAAATTATTAAAATAGTAATTAGTACATAATGTCCCTATATTTCACCGTTATTGCAAAAAAAAGTTCATACCTTTCTTTTTTTTTTACATTTTCACCATTAATTACACATTTGATTGTGGAAACTATCATTTACATCTATTTTCATCCAATTTTTCAATAAAAAAACTGTGAAATAATGAATATACCCTCATATTTAAATAAAAACTATTTTTTAAAATTTTTAATTTTTTAATAATTTATTTGGGACTCGTTTGTATTTTTTTAATTTTTAATAAATTTAACTGGGACTTTTTTGCACTTTTTTAAAAAAATTAATTTTTTTAAATAATTTAATAGGGGCTTGTTTGCACTTTTTTAAAAAATTGGGACTATGGTTGCAATTAATTCTTTAGCTTTTTATTTAAATATGATGGTATATTCGCTATTTCAGTATTTTTATTGAGAAAATGGATAGAAATGATGGTTTACGCTATCAAATGTATAATTAATTTTAATTTTTAATAAATTTAACTGGGACTTTTTTGCACTTTTTTAAAAAAATTAATTTTTTTAATAATTTAATAGGGACTTGTTTACACTTTTTAAAAAAATTGGGACTATGATTGCAATTAATTCTTAGCTTTTTATTTAAATATGAGGATATATTCATTATTTCACATGTTTTTATTGAGAAATTGAATGAAAATGGATAAAAATAATGGTTTGTGCAAACAAATGTGTAATTAAAGGTGAAAATGTCAAAAAAAATGAAATGTAAAGACATTTTTCGCAATAACAGCGAAAGATAAGGACATTATGTACTAATTACCCTTTTAATAATTTATTTGCGACTTATTTTCACTTTTTAAAAAAAATTTGGACTCTATTTGCAATTAATTTTTTTCTTTTTGTTTTATTTAAAGAGAGTGGTATATTCGTCATTTCATAAATTTTAATTGAGAAAATATGTGAAAATTACCTTTTGCTCAATGAAAGATGGAAATAAGGGTGAAAATGCCAAAAAATGAAAGGTATCGACGTTTTCCACAATAACAATGAAATATGAGGACGTTATGTGCTAAATTACCCATAATTGTGATGCAATCAATTGATGTCACATTTCTATCTGAAAAAGGAAAAAATAAATAAATAATATTCACATGAAAAGCTGTTGTGAATGAAAGATAAATTATGAGATGTTATTTTTATATATTTTGCACTTAAATGCTTTTAGTATAACATATATCTTCTATATATATAAAGTGGCTATGTAACGGAATTTGTTGTTGTAACGAAAAATCTGACGAAATTTCTTGTTTTAACGGAAAATATTTTTTCACCATTAGTTTTATTGTTCCAATATTTTTATTAAATAGCAATTAATAACAAATAAATTCTTTTAACTTGATTAATAGCATTAATTCAAAATGAAATTGAAAAATTGATGTTGTCATTAACAGAATTAACT